GAGGTTCGCTATCAGCCTTGTCCTCAGCTGGAGTTGAGCATATCCCGGAAGTTTATGCCAAGCCATCTTCAGTAATCCTTCTTTCCTCAAAGTGTCCCCCACGGCCTCGTAGACAACAGCCTCTCTGAGGGGCATGGTGCTGCTTAGAGGGAGGGCTGTGGCGCTCTTTGGTGGCTTGCCAGGCTCCTCTGCTGAGTGTGGCCTGTCTGCCTGAGCTGGTCTGGCCGCATGGTGAGAACTCACTTGTCGGTCCTCACTGCACACTGAACCCCGAGGGCACAGCTTTGTGCACCTCGTTTGCTGTGTCCTTTCCGAGGTTTGAGGCTGGGGTGGCTCAGCAGTGGAGTCAAGTCTCCAGGTTCTGTTCCCAGCATACTTTTTGAAAAGTCTTGAATGAGTGCCTGTCTGCATAGCTCTGGTCTTTGTGTTCAGAGTGTATGTAGTTTCTGAACTCGTACCCTTTGAAGGGTTTCACACTGATTTCAGGACAGGAAATGCTCCAGGGGGCTCCTTCGGGTGGATTTCTAATAATCCGGGCTTTGAGGCAGCTCAGAGTAACCGTGAACCGTGGTGACATGTCCCCTTCATGCTTCCTGCAGGTGACAGCAGTTTCTGCCAAATCCTGTATGACCACACAGCTTTGCCCCCAGCCCCACCCAGCTCTCCAGGACCCTGGAGCCCTGAGGCAGCCCCTGCCTTCCCCAGCCTTGGCCTTGAGGTGGCCCCAGCTCGGCCCTCTGGAGCCTCTGAGCCCTCACCAGCCATTGCCAAGGCCAAGGAGTTTGTGGCTGACATCTTCCGCAGGGCCAAAGAGGCCAAGGGTGGTACCTTGGAGGAAGCTCGGTTGCCCTCGGGCCTGGGGCCCTCAAGTAGCTGCTGCCGCTCATCCTCAGAGCCACCAGCCCCAAGTGGGGAAGTGGTGCCCAGGGACAGTCCTCCTGCGTCAGAGGCATCTGCCCCGGAGCCTGGCTACATCAACTACACCAAGTTGCACTATGTGTTGCAGTCTGGGGAAGGGACAGAACCTGAGGATGGTGAGGGGGCTTCCTGGGACAGGCTCTGGGATGGGGCAGTCCCAGGAGGACCCTTGGCCTGCTCCTACCCTGTGCCTGCCTCCCCAGAGTTTGAGGATGACAAGATCTCCCTGCCCTTTGTGGTGACTGACCTCCGTGGACGCAACTTACGGCCCATGCGAGAACGGACAGACATGCAGGTGGGTAGCCATTGTGCAGGCCGTGGGTGACCCAGGATCTGTGGGGTGGTTGGCACCACCTACCCCTGGCTCTCTGCCGTCTGTCCCCAGGGCCAATACTTGACGGTGGAGCAGCTCACATTGGACTTCGAGTATGTCATCAACGAGGTCATCCGTCATGATGCCACCTGGGGTCACCAGTTCTGCTCCTTCAGTGACTATGACATAGTTATCCTGGAGGTAAGGCTAGGTACAGCAGGAGGCTGGGGTGTTCCCACTAGAGACCTCTTATCTATAACCGTCGCTGCCTACTCCCAGGTCTGCCCAGAAACCAACCAGGTCCTGATCAACATTGGCCTGTTGCTCCTAGCCTTCCCAGCCCCCACTGAGGAGGGCCAGCTCCGGTAAGTGGCAGGGCCCTTGGCTAACCCTCACATGGTGGCCATACCCAGCCCCTTCTGTGCAGGGTGTAAAGGGTGAGCCCATCCTGTCACTGGTGTGTTGACAAGCCAGTGCAGGAACTCACTGGCCCACCCTCGTCCTCCACCATCACAGACCAAAGACCTACCATACCAGTCTAAAGGTGGCCTGGGACCTCAGCACCGGCATCTTTGAGACAGTCAGCGTGGGTGACCTCACCGAGGTCAAAGGGCAGACCAGGTGAGGCAGGGCAAGAGTGGGTGGCCAGGGAAGCCTGGCCAGTTGGCAGGAAAGGCTCCTCTTGACTCATTGCCTGGTCTCCAGCGGCAGTGTCTGGAGCTCCTACCGAAAGAGCTGTGTGGACATGGTCATGAAGTGGCTGGTGCCAGAGAGCAGTGGCCGCTATGTGAACCGGATGACCAACGAGGCGCTGCACAAAGGTAGGAACTGCCCACTAGTGCCCCAGCAGGGCAGCATGCTGATCTTACCCTGGATCCCAGGGCATGCTGAAGGGAGTGTGCATGCGGGACACGCAGGGTGCCATAGATCTGAGTGCCGTGCCGCTGTGGGCTTACTCAGAGGGCTTAACTATGGCTGGAAAAGGGGGTGGAGGAATCATCAGGGAGCCTGTTTCTGGAACTTTCTGAGTCCAGTTAACCCATGGAAGTTGTCTGCAGGACTAGACAAGTGCATCATGGTCCTGCATGTCCTTCTCTGCAGGGTGCTCACTGAAGGTTCTGGCAGACAGTGAGCGGTACACTTGGATTGTGCTGTGAGGGCTGGACCGCCCTGGACCCTGACTCCAACTACCTCCGCAGGCCCGGGAGAGGACCGCCTTCCTGGGCTGGCCCTGCAGGGGCCACAGCTGGCACTAGTGTTAGGTTGCGGGATGGGACTGGTGCAGCAGCAGCCTCTGGTGGCCCAAGAGTCTGGATGTGTCTTTATTTATGCCTATTTAAGTTGGGAAAGGGCAGAGGGAGGAGCCCCTCAGGCCTGGCCTGCCCTAGCAAGTCCAGTCCTGCTTCCTGTGCTCTGGCCCTTTCCTTGGCTGCAAGTGTAGCCCTTAGGGAGGCCCAGTGGTTCTGGCCTCCCTCCCCTGGGGTGGGAACCCTGTGGCCACCTGGCCTTGTTCTTCATGTACTAAATGCTTTATTTCTGAGCCTGGCTGGTGTCCCCGTTCTGTCCTCAACACAGACACGCCCCCAGCCCTGCTAATCATCAGTAGACAAAGATCACAGCAGTATTTATTGTTTTAAGAAAGACTACAAAAAGGTAGAAAACAGCACACTAGACTAGCACGCGCGTGGGTACGTTCACCACTGGGAAGGGAGGCCCCTGGGGAGTGTGCAGGACCACCCCGAAAGCTGTAGCACGCGGAGCACACAAAATAGTGATTTCTATACAGTAGGCCGGGTTTCCTTTTTTTTTTTCCATAAACATCTATCACAGATTGAAGACACTGAGAAAACGGGAACGGATAAGGCCATGATGGTTGGAAAAAAACCAACAAGTTACTGACTCCGCTCAAGCGGCACTCACTAATCACACAATAGTTACAGGGGTCGGGGGCACGGCACGGAGGAGAAGCATCTCTGGGAGCAGGTTTCGGTCACAAGCCGGTAGGGTGGAAGGCGCAGGGCGCGGCCTCAGGTCTGGAGCACCTGGCCCTGCAGCCAGCCGGATGCTCCTCTTTGGAAGCTGAAGGCCGGGGGCCCTTCACAATATGCCCCTCTCTGGGCTGCGGGGCCAGGAGAACCCAGCTCTGGAGAAGGTGCGACACCCACAGCTTTAATTGCACTTATACCAAGAAAGGGGAGCAGTGGGGCTGCTGCTGCTGCTGACAGTGGGGGTCCCCGGGTGCCACCCACCTGCGCCTGCCCAGGCTTGGGTCTGCCCAGGCAGGCTGTGCAAAGCCAGAGAGCAGAATAAGTTAACAGTTCGCAGGGGAGGGGCCGGCCTGCTGCCCTCTGGGGTGGTAGTGGGGGACAGGGCTGCGAGCTGGGGCGGGAGAGAGGGGCACCTGGGCAGGCTCCTTAAGGCACGTCTTTTGTGTCACGGTTTGCAGCTTCAGTTCTGCCCGGCCCGGCCTGGGATTGTACCGGCTCCACGGGAGGGGAGGCTCCCCAGCCTTCCCTGTCACAGGGCCCTCTCCAGCTCTCGTGGGCTGGAAGGGTGACAGTGAAGCCACAAAAGCTGAGGGACCGGACCCTGGCTTGGAGGGACTGACCCTGGCCTGGAGGGACAGCAACGGCGGGTTGGGTGGGCGGAGGGGGCAGGGACGTCTTGGGCTTAGCTGGAGGGCAGGGCCTGCACAAAGAGGCCACGAGTGTCGGCCCGCGCCAGCTTCGCCGGTGGTTCTAGGGCTTCTGGGCCCAGAGCCGGGGACTCGCTGCCCGCAGCCAGCGAGATGTCTTGTGGCAGCTCATCCTCACTCTCCTCCTCCTCTTCTTCCTCCTCGTCTGGAGCACAGGGAGCAAACCCAGCTCAGCGAAAGGCTGTGAAATTTCTAGGGACACCCGGCCTCCCTGTCAGGTGCCCCCACCCCTGGAACCCAGGTCCTAGGTGGGGACACGCACTACTACCTTTGTCAGGGTCCAAGGGGTTCAGCGAGGTGGCCAGATTTGCAAACTGGAAGAAGACAGAGGAGAAGGTTAGGAGTCCAGGGCCTGAGCCTATCCGCATCCCCAGTCAGTACCTCACCGTGCGCACCTCTCCCATGACTGCGATCGGGGTCTCGCCCTTGGCCTGGGCCACGCGGTGCTCGATCAGATAGTACATGTACTCGTCATAGAGCAGCCGGATGAGGTGGAAGGAGCCGAAGCTGGCAGCGCTGCGCAGGGTCAGGTCCCGGATGACCATGGAGCTGCGGCAGTGACCGAGACACTGTCAGGCCTGCAGGGCTGTTTCCCTGGTGTCTCCCGTGAGCTAAAGGGCTTTCCTAACCCACCCACCGCTCCTCACGAGCACACCTTGGAGGGGGCTTTCCCTAACACGCACTGGGGTTCCCCGTCTCATCCCCCCCAGCCAGCACCCCGGCACAGGCGCGCACCTGTAGAAGGACCACTTGAGGAGGAAGAGCTTGGCCGCCTTGGGGAAGCCGGAACTGCCCTGGTAGGGCTTGAGCACCTGGCTCACGACGCCGTCCAGCCAGGCTGCCCATTGCTCCAGTGAGTTCTGCTGCTGCAGCGTCACCTTGAAGTCCTGCTCCAAACGCTGCACCACCCGGTCCTCGCAGCGGCACACCCACGAGGCCTGCTCCTGGAGCGCAGCAGGCAGCCTGCTCAGCCTCCTTTCTCTCCCGGTCGCTCCCTCCCTCCCTCCCGTCCCAGCCCCACTGATGCCCACTGATGCTCGCTCACCTGCACATTTGCGAAGTCCACACGGTTGAGGTCGCTCAGCATCTGGTTGATCTGCGCGGTATTCTGCAGCACGGCTCGCGCCGCCTGTGCCAAATGGTTGAGTGACGTATAGCGCCGCAGCGTCTGTGCGAAGGCGCCGGCCGCGGCCACCTGCACGGAGACAGTAGGTTAGTGCCTTCCACACAAACCTCGCCCGGCCCAGCCTCACCTGTTGCCTTTTCTTAAAAACCAGTGTGCGTTACCGTTCCTGTCTGGAGATCAAGGGAGGACCTCCAGTACTGATGTGGGTCAGGCGCTCAGCTTACTGCGCTGACTGGGCTATTATTCTATTTATTTGGGTTTTTCCCGAGACAGGGCTTCTCGGTGTAGCCCTGGCCATCCTGGACCAGGCTGGCCTTGAACTCAGTGATCTGCCTGCCTCTGCCTCCTGAGTGCTGGGATTAATGGCGTGCACCACCACTGCTGGCTATTTTTTATTTATTTTGTGTTTGTGTGATGGCTCACGTATGAAAGTCAGAGGACATCTTGTGGTAGTGGTCCTCTGCGTCCACCTTGTGGGTCTCGGGATCAAATTCAGGTTCCTGGGAGTGGAAGGCAGGCACCTTTATGCACTGAGCCATCTCCCTGGCCCTGACTGGCACTTTTTTTTACTGTGTGTGTGTGGTGGTGATCAAACTCAGGTCCATGTTCACACTAAGCCAGCACTCTACCACTGAGATTCACTCCCCAGCCCAAATTACTGGGGTTTTTGGTTCTCCCCTGTGAGGCAGGGTCTCACTGTGCAGGCGGGACCGAGGTGACCCTTCTGTCTCACCCTGTGCTGGGATTACAGGTACGCATCTTCACGAATGTCCTGCCACTTTCAATTTAAGACACAACGAAGAGCCGCACCCCTCCAGTACTGAGCCCATGGCCCTGCACAGACTTGGCGAGGGTGTACCACTGAGCTCTATATGCAAGGGTAGTCACTGTTTCCATCAGAGCAGCCTCGGATACCTGTTCCGTGAGGGCCTAGCTCCGTCACCACGGACCCACGTTGCCTTCAGTCTTCAGAGTGCACACAGCACGGACCAATGACTGTGAGGCCCGGCAACTGCAAGGCCTGCTTCCTGCGCTCTCTACTCTTGCGGGCTCTCCCTGTCTTTTCTGTCTAGGTGAGGAGTGACTCTAGGCACCCAGCCTGTGTGGGCTGGGGGTGCAGCTCAGTGGTAGAGTACTTACCTCCCTACTGTGCATGGAGCCCTGGTTCCTCTCCACCACTTTGGTAACAGAAGTAGACACCAGAGCAAGTGCATCTTGGTGGATGGACAGCACCAATCAGGTGCTGTCTGTTTGAATTCCTTGTACATTAAAAACATCTCTGGACAGCTAAGTTACTTCTTCCTCAGTCAAGAACAGAGCTTCCATTTGTCTGGTTTTGTTTTGAGACAGGGTCTCTGGGCTGGACTGGTGAAGCCAAAGCTTGTACTGGAAGGAGCTATAGGTGTGGACCACCGTTCACTACGCTGTTGCAGAAGACAGTCTTGCTGAGCATGTGGGGCACACCTTTAATTCCAGCACTCAGGAGGAAGAGGCAGGGGAATCTCTTGTGAGTCTCAATAAATAAATGAATGAATGAATAAACAAATAATGTTTTAAGTGCTGAAACCCTGGGAGCCTTTCAGAAATGGGTCCAGAAGGTATACGGTACAAGATGATGCCTGGAGCCTGCCCTGGGGCCCTTGAAGGGAAACAGTCTTCACAGGCACACAGCAGGTCTGCAGACAAACCTCCCCACAATGCTACGGCCTGGCTGCCCAGGCCACCCCTCACCTTCACCCGCAGCATCTCCTCAGGGATGTTCACCATGGCGTGCGTGAGCCAGCTCTCTAGGCTCTTGGCAAAGTTCCGGATTGCTTGGGTCAAGGCACCTGTGGAGGATGCGGGTGCTGGTCAGGGTGGGTGGGGAGCCTTCTGGGGAGGAGCACAGACAACGGCACTCACTGGGGATGGGCCGCAGCACGTCAGGGATGAGGATCTCCACCAGGCCCTGGTACAGCACATTGTCACAGCGCTTGGTCCACTGCAGCACGGGCTGGAACTTGGAGAGGAGCACCAGACTGGCCCTGGGCAGCCGTTTCTCTGCCTCGTCATGCCTGGGGGGGACACACTCAACCTTCAGTCAAGGGCATGTGTAACCCCCACATGCAAGGGTGACCCCCTCCAAGCCCCAGGGACTCACACAGCCAGCGGAGGTGCCTCGTTGGGCTGGCTAAGGTTATATCTCCAGAAGGTCTTCCACAGTGTTTCTACCAGTGTGAACTGGAGATTTACCATGACGTCCACAATGGCCTGCAGGGACAGGACTTCACGATGGGGATTGGGCAGCATGGGGCTTCCTGCCCAAGGCTGCATTCAAGGCTGGCCCACCCACCTACTCACTCACCATCTGACTGCCCTACCTCACAGTGTTCCCGGTACAGGACCTGGAAGGCCTTGACGTCCCCAGGGCCGACGCCCTCAGGCAGCACTTTGCCCTGGAGGTCCAGCTCAACAAAATCAGGGAGACTCCTGGAGGCATCTATGGGGAGGGCGCCATGAGGCCGTGTCCACCTGCCTACCTCTCTTGCTACCTCAGGGTCCTAGTCCACCTATCATCTTCCCAACATGGTGAGGCTCAAGCAGGGTGAGCTCCTGGCCCAGGGCCCCAGGGCCCCAGGGCCCCTCCACAGAGCATAGGAGGTGCTTGGGCCTGGCCTGGCCTGCTGAGTGACGGTTCTGACTGGTCCTTAGACACCTGGTCCAGGCAGCCTCCCTGCCGAGACAGCAGGTGTCTAAAGGCCCTATTAGTACCGCAGGGGTGCAGTTCAGGGTTAACATGGTCACCAGGGCCACACTTGACTGATCTCCCATATCTTTCTCCACTCCCAAGCCACAGTGCCACCATGTGGCCATGAGACTTGGCAACTGTTAGGGGCACCATCAGGCCTTGTTCCCCCTTTGTCACCTTTAGTGTGTGTAGAAACTGAACACATACCCTGGGTACACACAGGCTCTCTCAGTTACTAATCCTAGTCACATGGACACAGGGCTGCAGGCCAAAAAGGATGGGATCCCCTGTCATGTTAGTGGACACTGTTGGACCATCCGAGGCATTACCTGTCGGTGTGGGGTTCCGCATCACCAGGCTTCACTGGGTACACAGAAGCACTGGCTACTGAAAGGAATATAAGATGGTGCACACCCTGGGGTCTCAGCACTGGAGGCCAAGGCAGAGGCTCATGAATTCCAGGTCGGTCCTGACTATACAGTGAGACCTGGTCTCCAAAGTACAGGGCAGGCTAGGCATAGTGGCACACACCTTATCCCAGCTCTTAGGAAGTAGAGGCAAGCGGATCTCTGTGAGCTAGAGGCCAGCCTGGTCTACAGAGTGAGTTCCGGACTAGCCAGGACTACACAGTGAGACCCTGTCTAAACTGCCCACCCCTCCCCCCAAAAACAACGGGGTTGGGAGATCTTAGAAAGGTTTCTGGGGATGGAACAATCCCACAAAGACAGAGGGAAGCAAGCCTGAATGTCCATCAGACTCCCCGTGGCCCTCCTGGGTCCCCGGAGGCAGCAGGCAGGCTGCCCTGCCCATCGGCTCTCACCCAGGAACTGCTGGTACTGCTGCACCTGGGCGCTGATGTCTGCCAGCCCTGTGCTCTGCTGCCCCACGGCAACACCGTTGGCCACGCCCTCCATCTTCTGGATGGGCTTGAGCCTGGAGGGGAAGGGGTAGTGGGGTGGCTGGTGGGGAGAGGGGCCAGCTGGGGTGAGGGGGGATGAGCCACCTAGCACGGGGGGGGGGGGTAGCCCAGCTGTGTGGGGACTAGGTTTCTGAAGGGATGGGCTGGGGTGGGGGGTGAGTGGCAGGTGAGGACTGATGGAGGGGTGGCTGGGTCACCTGGGAGGGGCACGTCACCTGGTGGGGGACAGGCAGGCTGATGGCCTAGGGCATGGTCAGGTAAAACAGCAGTCAGCTCTGCAGTCCCCGCTCCGTCTCAGAGCAGGAGGCTCCTACCTCTGTTTCTGGGAGAAGGGCTGGCCTCGCATGGCCATGTGCTGCTGATCCTCCATCAGCCGCAGCAGGGGTGAGCTGGCTTTGATCCGCAGGCCGTAGTAGTGGTACTTAGAGTTGCCCCTGGGAAGAAGGGGAGAGGTGCTTTACCAGCTGGGCAGGACACCGGGGGTCTCACACAGCTTTGCTCTCTTTTCAGGGCCTGGACAGAGAAAGCTGCCCTGCTCAGCTGAGGAAGCAGAGGGCACCAGGTGGCAAGAGTCTGATACCAGGCAAGCACTTAGCTTGGTCCTAAGGGCATACAAGGTGCTTATACTGAGCATGTAACCCCACTTCCTCTCGACCCTATGAAAGGTGTTCCTGATAGCTTGGACAGACATGAGAAAACTGAGACAAAGAGATCAAGAACATCACCAAGGACAGTATGAATGAATGAATGAATGAATGATGCCTGAGCCACTAACTGGAAAAGAGATGAGCAGACACCAAGAGATAGCTGAGTAAGGAGATGAAGTAAGTACAGAAACGGGAAGGCACAGCCAGAGCAATGTCCCAGAGGTAGGCACAGGAAGTAGAGCTGAGTGGAGTGAGCAGGAGCAAGAGTTCTTGCCCTGTGGTTCAGACCCACTTGGAGTTGAGGTGGGTCACAGGAGCAGACAGCATATGCCCTTGGGGCCCAGGGCAGCTGAGGGAGGAGGGGTGGGACAGACCTGGTGCCCAGGCGGCGGGTGCGCAGCCCCATGAACACTGAGCGGATGAGCTTGCCGAAGGAGGCGGCGTTCACAGGCTCCAGCTTCTGCTCCTGGCAGTGCAGCAGGTAATGGCAGTAGAGGGTGCTCCGCGGCAGGCTCACGCCCTCGGCGGTCTCGTAATTGTCTAGGAGCCACTGGACCTGGAGCACACAAGAGGGCAGGACAGCGCTGACAGTCGTGGCATCCTTGGAGACTGGCTGCGTGCTCTGCCCCTGGGTTCCACTGTGGTTCTGACGGCCGTAAGGCGCATAGCCTGTCACAGTATTCCTGGGAACTACAGTCTTTCAAAGCCTCTGGAACAGCGCTGACCAGTACACATGCCACTAGCCACCTGCAGCTACTTAAAGCCAAGGTTGGTAATATATGAGGAATGAAAAGCCAACCTCCCCAGGTCACAGAGTAAGAGTCCACCTAGAAGTGACATTATAGAGACGGATAACAGATCATGGCTCCTGAGGGGCTGAAGATGTTGAAAGGGAGGTAGAGGAGGGTCAATATTAACAGCTGAGATCTCTGAGGATGAAACAGCTCTACATTTTTTCCTCAGTGCTCAGTGCTCCGGATGGAACCTAGGACCTCACGGAGTGAGGGAAGCCTTTGCTGCCTCATTTCTGTATCTTGACTGTGGCAGGCATCTCTCCACATCTACAATTCCATGGAGCAAGCCTGGCGACATGGTGATACACACCTAAACTCCCAACACTGGGGAAACTGAGGCCATTCTGGACTACACAGGGAGATCTGTCTCAAAAACAACAGACGGGGGGGGGGGGGCTGGAGGGCTGGAGAGATGGCTCAGAGGTTAAGAGCACTGGCTGTTCTTTCAGAGGTCCTGAGTTCAATTCCCAGCAACCACATGGTGGCTCACAACCATCTGTAATGAGATCTGACGCCCTCTTCTGGCCTGCAGACATACATGCAGGCAGAACACTGTATGCATAATAAATAAATAAATCTTTAAAAAAAAGGCAGAAACTGCCCCCGGCCACAAACATTGTCTGTTAGGGAAATGGGGCTGAGCAGGGAAGCAGGTGAGCAGGAGAAGGTGCACTGGCATCTGTCACGGTCTTTTTGTGTGTGTGTGTCAGTGTTCATGTGAGAGGGCACACAGGGGCGCTGTGCAGCGCGTGTGTACAGACCGAAGGCTGGCGGCTGACGTCTTCCTTGGCTGCTGCCTACCTTGTTCTTGTTGTTGTTATTTTATGTGTATGAGGTCTTTGCCTACAGTCTGTCTGTGTACATACATGCCTGGTCTCCACAGAGGCCAGAAGAGGGTGTCAGGTCCCCTGGAATTAGAGTTACAGACAGGTGTGAGCTGTCATGTGGGTGCTGGGAACTGAACCCAGGGCCTCCAGAAGAGCGGCCAGTGCTCTTAACCACTGAGCCACCTCCCTAGCCCCACCCCACCCCCACCTTGTTTTCTTGAGAAAGCATCTCTCACTGAACCTGGAGCTGTCTGGCCGGCTGCCCCAGGTACCTGTCTCTGCCCTCGAGCACCGGGTTTATAAACTTGGGGAGGTGCTGGGGATGCAAACTCAGAAGAAGCCCTTGCTTCACAGCAAGCCCTTACTGTCCAGGACAGGCACCAAAACACACACGCACGCACGCACGCACGCACGCACGCACGCACGCACGCACGCACTACAGTCTCTCAGTGACCTCAGCCCCCAGGGCTCAAGAGCAATCCAGGCCAAGCGGCGTCTTCTCCAGCGGGCAGGGCTCTCACTCCCTCATCAGACCCTGGTCATTCTACTTGTGTGTGTGGTTTTTATTTTGTTTTTGTTTGGTTGGTTTGGTTTTTTCAAGACAGGATTTTACTGTGTTAACAGTCCTGGCTGTCCTGGAACTCACTCTGTAGACCAGGCTGGCCTCCAACTCACAGAGATCCGCCTGGGCCTGCCTCCTGCCTCCTGGGATCAAAGGCGCGCGCCACCACTGCCCAGCAGCATGTGTGTGTCTTAAGCAGCACCGGAGGACCCACAGCATTGTGAAATCACATGGTTCACACCAGTATCCTTTAAAATAGACTAAATAAACTAGTGAGGACTAGTGTAGTAGTCAGGGTGCTCTGGTGTGTAGGGGATGTGGGGGGCGGGGACAAGGTGTTCTGACCCAACCCACAGTCCCTACTGATAATGGGCCTGACTGGGGCTGGAATCCAGTGCCACCAACAGTGACTCTAAGAGCCCAAATCTCTCACTTCCTATCTAGCTGTCACCAGTTCTGACTAAGGACATTTCTGTGACTGTCCCCGAGCGTCACTCAGCAGCTGAGCAGCACCTAAGGTCACACTGCATAGGACACCAGGCTCCTGGGTCAGGTGAGCACTGGACCCCTGAGCTAGAGTGCCTCGAGCCGAACTTCTCCACCCTGATTATGGCCAAGTTCCCCGCCACCCCTCCCAGGTGCTCACCTCCCGTTTCCCGAGTGAGGTCAGAACACTTACTGTGGCCGGTGAGGCACGGGTGGTGTGGGAATAAGACTGGCTGGCGTTGCCTAGCATGTAGCCGCCTTGGATCACGTAGGTGCCTGCTCCACTGCCACCGCCGCTGCTGCCGCCGCCACCGCCGCCGCCACCACCATTGCTGCTGCCACCTCCCCCGCTGCCCCCTGCCCCCACGCTGCTGTTGCTGGCCCCGGCCTCACTGCTGGAGGAGCTGGCGACAATCGGGCTGCCGGACACATACATGGGCACTGAGCCACTGCTGGCCACAGTCTGGGAAGTAGCCGGCGTGCTGACCTGGGCAGCGGTGCCTGGAGCCTCATAGTAGCTGGTGCCTGCTGGTTGCGTGTAGATGGGCGTCTCAGGGTAGGGGTAGGTGCTAGAGCGGCTGCCAAGAAGCAGACATGAGGCTATGATCAGTGAGCCTTGTCCAAGGAAGTAGGGATTCCAGGAGAGGACCAGAGAAGCCACAGAACACCAGGGTGGCCCACCTTCACTTGTAAGAGACTGGGCATGGCCTAAAACTGAATGGGCAACCACGTCCTTGGTGTTTTTCTAAAAAGATTTCTTTAGTTATTGATTCCTCAGAGGGGAGCACACAGGTACCACGGCACACGTGTGGAGGTCAGAGGACAACTTGTGGGAGTCAGATCTCTCCTTCCACCACGGGGGTCCTAGAGATCGAACTCAGGTTGTGAGGCCTGGCAGCAAGCACCTGCCGAACCATCTCCCTGGCCCTCTGTGGGTAGCTGTCACTGAACTGGGCAGCACTCTGGTACGGGGCCACCTCCCTTGCTGCAGAAGTGGAGAAAACAAGGTGGGGTCCAGAATGCAAATACAACACACACTTCCCTCAGCAACAACAAGTAAGTTCTGGGTCCAGGGAGGGAAAACCCAGAAGGGATGACGAAGTCCCTAAGACTGTCGGGCAGACAGAGGAGTGTCTGTGACTGTCTACCTTTCCTGCAGGGGCTGCCCCTTCAACCCAGAACACGAACTGACGGACTGTTCCGGTAACACGCTGCAAATCTAACCATGCAACTGTAGCAGGACAGCCAGGGCAGCTGGGCCATCTTTGGAGGCTGCAAACTAAAGTGGGCTAGAGCAGGGTGAGGAGAAGAGGATGACGGCCTTGCAGGCCGCCTAAACCAGGCACAGTGGACAACCAGAGACAAGGTTGGAAGGGTAGGAAAAGATGACCCTAAGTGCAGGTGGAGGCCTCTGTGGAGAGGGGACAGGCAGAGCCACCTCTCAGTTTCTGTCTCTGAGCCCACTCAGTGTGTCAGGGATTAAGACATGAAAACTTGAGCCTGGCCGGTGGCTCAGGGGGCAGGGTGCTGCCAACCAGCCTGAAGCCCTAGGTTTGATCCCCGAAGCCCACGGAGCACACAGACTCCAGAGTTGGCCTCTGAACTGCACTTACTACATGGTGTACACACACCCATTCTCTCCACCATCTCCACACACAAACGAGGGCCAGTACGACGGCTCTGGGGCTACAGATGCATGCCACCATGCCAGGCTCTTACACAGGTACAGAGATCTGACCTCAGGCGCTCACGTTTAGTAAGCAAGCAATTGACTACTGAGCCGTCTCCCCAGCCTCCAAGGAAAAGTCTGAGACAGAATATTCAGCCTGTGTTTCTGAAAAAAGAAATGATCCATTTCTTTTTTATTTGAGACAGGATCTAACTGGGTAATTAGCCTTCAATTCAAGATCTTCCTAGGGACTGGCAAGATGGCTCAGGAGGTAGGGTGCTTGCTACCAAGCCTGAGGAACTGAGTTTGATTCCTGGGACCCACAGGATGGAGAGAGAAGACTGACTCCTTCAGGTCTCATCTCCATATGTGCACCATGGCACGCACATGCCCCCTCCCCATTACAAATAAATCAATGTGATAAAAAAATCTGCCTGCCTCTGCCTCCCCAGTGCTGCTAAAACAGGGTAGTTTTATGCTCAGAGCATTTCTGGGTAGTAACAGAGAAACAGACACTCTGTGGGGCATTAAAGGTGAGATCTGAGAACTGAAGAACTGCTTTTTCCTGATTCATATAGACAGATTTAGTCAGGCAGTGGTAGCACACATCTTGAATCCCAACACAGGAAAAGATCCGCCTGCCTCCGCCTTCTGAGTGCTGGGATTAAAAGGCATGTGCCACCACTGCCTGGCAAAAATGAAAAATTTATGTCGTAGAAATGTATTTACAAATACCTCTATATATCACATGTATACATACATGTATGTTTTTTTTCTTTCCCTTTCCCTCCTAAAATCGAAATCCATCTAGCCACACAGGCCCTAATCAGTGGAGGTGCCCTCCCAACTGACCAGTGTCTATTCTGCTACCAGCAGCCTGTATTCCTGGTAGCTCTGGCTGCCCCTGGGAAGCTCCCATGGAAGTGAGGCTATCACCTCAGGCTTGCAGGTCAGTGGGGAGCTGGAACTGTGGCCCCATGCCCGACAGATCTGTGCCGCCCG